AGACAGTGGCCACATAAGCTTTTGGCTCCCAGATGAGTAATTCTATGATCATAAGAGATCAGAGAGTGGTTTGGGCAGAGAATTAGAGAGGAAATCATTTCAAACTTTTCAGCTTGTATGCTGTGTTCTTTGAATCTAGAAGTATTGTCCAGAAAGTCCTTCTTTGTAATTTTTAAGCACCCCCTGAAACAAATCCCTGACTCATCCAAATATTAAGTTACTCATAATAAACAGACTCTTCACTGGGGGATATGGTTCTTTGAATCAGAGTTAAATTCTTTTTTGAAAATTGTAGTATTCCTTTTAAAGAGTGGAGAATAAAGTACCAAGAGGGCAAGTGATTTACTTTAGTGCATGTCAGTAGGACATTAGTGATTAAACTTTTTATCATGTTTGTTTCAACACAGTTGCTACCTAGGCACAAAGTCTATTTTGTTAGTTATCTATGTAGACAACTGACTTTTTTTCTAGATTGCCTATGGATTTTGTTGTCCACTTTTGTATGTTAGCACTATACAAATGTTTGTAAAAAAAAAAAACAATTTGGCTTACCATAGGGTCTACTGTTTTAAAAACATAGAACAGGTTTTTTTTATGAATTATGAAAGTAATGCATGAGTATTGCCAAAAACAGACAACAGAGAAGAACTAAAAAAGATGAAAATAAAAAGCACCTAAAAATCTCCCACTGAGAAACATATCTGTCCACATTTAGAGGTATACTCATTCCAACAGTTTTTCCATAGTCACCTAAACTACAGTGCCACCTAAAAACATGTCTATCTCCAGGATCATAATATACAAACTATTTTATAATTTTTTTTCTCTTAAAAGAAATACTAATAGAAAATTTTCCATGTCAGCTATATGGGTCCATGTCATCATTATAAATGGTGGCAGTGTTTTGTTGTACATAAGCTCCTTCATAACTAATCTCCTGTTGACAGATAATTTTAATCCTCTTGCTTCATTTTTTTTTTTTTTTTTTTATTCACACAGAACTGGGCTACAGACCAGAGATGCGGAGGGTGAGAGGATTCACCAGGGACAGAGTGGGGTACAGAACAGGCAGATCAATGAAGTACACTGCTGAGGGGAGCAGCGGTGGGTCAGGAGAGGTCTTCCACGCCATCCCCGGGGCAGGCGGGGATCGAACTCATGAGGTAATGGCTTAAGCTTCTTAGTGCGGTGCTTTAACCCGCTGCGCCACCAGGGAGGTCGCAGCTTCATTTTTTTTAATGACTGAACAATGTGGCAGTATCTTTGCTCAGTTGCCTGATTATTTTCTTAAGAAAAGTACTAGAAGTAGACTTTTTGTGTTGAGTCATAATATTTTTAAAGCTTTTGGTAGATAGTGCCATATTTTTTTCTAGAATATTGATGAATTTATGCTCTCATCAGCAGGGTATCATAAAGTGCAAAAAAGAGCTTTTAAAATGTTTTTTTCTTTTTTTAACTGTAGTTTGGGGAGAAGAAATGCAAGAAAGGAGTTTCATTCCAAATGGTTGCATCGCTGCATAAAGTAATTTTTAATTACATCTATTCATATATTAACTGCCTCACAATCTGCATATGTTATTACTTATTTGAAAATTTGCATATTTAAATAAGGCTACAGTATTTGAAGTTAGCCAAGTTGGAAAAGTTGAAGTTTATCTTGATATTAATGGGTTTCAGTGGATCCTGTGGTATCCACCCAGGTTACCCATCTTATAGCTGGTGGGAATGTTCGCTCTTACCAACTCACACTTGCCAGAAGTGCCCTTCCTTGATCCACTAGGAAGCTAAGCTGTCTCTTGCCTTCATTCTAGTCTCAGCCCTGCATTGTCTAACGGTGGGGCTAACTGCGGTAGGATGGATGGAGCATTTATATTCAGGCTCCTGCATAGATGAGGCAACTGAATCCTGTTATTGCTTTGTTCTTCCCCTGCCCTTCTTTATTTCCCTCATTCTCCAAACAAATATCACTCATTGGAATCCCTATCTCAGAGTCAGATTTTTGCTTCCAGAAAACATGGCCCAAGACAAAAGCAGAGAGACAGCAAGCTTGAGGAACAATTGCTTTCTTCAAGTCATTTTATTGCCTAGCCATAAATTATTGCTATCAAATGCAAAATAGGTAGATATGATTCACAACAGAGCTGTGTCAGGAAAATATTGTCTTGGCATTGGAAAGGAATAATGCATGTTTGGTAAGCAGGGAAGTTATTTTATTGTTGATATGTTTCTTGGCTTTAAGATTAAATTGATAGACTGGAGACAGCTGGAGATGGATTGGTGTTTTTAGTGATCTGCAAAGTGATTTTTGTCTTTATTATGCCTCTATTTTAGGAAAGCCTAAGTAAATTGATGACTAATCTGAAGTCATTAGCACCTCATTTGTGAGGTACATAAATCCCAATGTGAACAAAATGCCAGGTAATAACCAGACTTCTTTGTAACTCATACTAGGAAATACATTTGATTTGATCTATGTTCAGTGTCTTTGTTAAAAAAAAAAACAAAAAACAACACTGATCCCTGTTCTATAAGGGCAGAGTTTCAGATAAAAATTAACAGTAAGTTAAAAAGCCTTTAGAACCTCAAGTTTGCCTTTGAATTGCAATTCAGTTGATCATACAGAAGGAATTCAGGAAGTGGTTTCAACTGTATAACATTGGAGTGTTTGATATTACCATTTCAATTCTTTCTTGAATGCCATGCTAAAACATGGATAAGCTTCTATGCCATTTCTGTAAGGGCAAAGTAAAATAAAGGATTGAATAAGCAGTCAGGGGATTAAGGTAGATATTTCAGCATAAAGGAAATGATTTGATCTGAATTATTTAAGCTGACAATAAAGATAGTTCCTAAATCCATTTTGATTATTAAGAACTCTATCTATTCTTCTTTCCCAATTCTAATATCTTCCCTTACCCTAAAAGTACACATCTCTTTAGTTTTGTACTCTGAGGCAGTGGACACTTTTTAAGATCTTTTTTGATATACATACAGCTCTAATATATTTAAGTTGTATAGCATAATTGTTTGTTTTATATATATTGTGAAATAATCACAATAGGTTTAGTTAACATCACCATCTCATCTAGAAAAAAAACCAAAGAACTTGTGATGACAACTCTTAGGATATATTATCTTAACATTGTTCATATTTTTCCTCTAGCCATATGCCTATAGTAATCCTGCTCTGTATTACATCCACAGAACTGATATATTATCTAACTGGAAGTACATACGTTCCCATCACCTTCACCCAAATTCCTATCTCCACCTCTGGTAGCCATAAATATCTCTTTTTTTTTTTTTTGTCATTTTGTTTTTAAGAGCGCACATTTATATAGGACATGTGTGTGTCATTCTCTGTCTGACTTGGACTTAGTACCCTCAGGGTCCATTCATGTTGTTACAAACAACAGATTGCCTCTTTTATGGCTAAATAGTATTCCACTGTGTGTATGTGTATACACATTTTTTATTTTTTCATCTGCTAGTAGACACTTAGTAGATTACCCTGCTTTGGCTATTGTAGTTTGTACTTTTTGGTGAGTGGGTGGTGGTGAATTATTAAATTTTTTTTTGCCAAGTTGCATAAAATGCTGTAGAGATATTAACTACACAATTGCTTTCTTTACACCATGGATTAGAAGACTTCTGGTGTGTTTATTGAAATTACAGATTTCTATAGAGCTAGTCAGAGGCTGTCATTCTCAAAAAAGTACATATGACAAGTATTTAAGTTTTTAGAGCACTAATTACCCTTGGAATATGTAGCCAGATGCTGCTGTTTCTGATTTCTGAGGTTCCATAGTACCTTGCATTTTTATTAACCTCCTGTAATTAAGACCCCAATCTTGAGAGTCTGTGACCTATTTTGGGAAGTGGGATACTAAACAATGATGCTGCAACTTGTGATTTTGCAATACAAACACTTCATGTTCATTCATGCTCTATGTTTTTGCCTCATTGTTTCTTATCAGCTGGGTTTCTGAATGCATCGAGGGACACGGTTTCCATCTAGCAAGGAATCTAATTAGCTGCCTCTATTTTGGAGCTGTTCTGTTACCTATTAGAGTTGCCTCCTATCGAGTCCGTTCTGATTTCAGCAGGGTTTTTTAAAGTCATAAGACAAAGTCATAAGGAAAGCTGCGCCATCTAATCAAAAACAGTTCATCTGTACTCCAAGGGAATGAGCATACTCATTCTTACCATGTCCTAGGACTCTTTCTGTTCGTTTTTACAGATAACCCGTTCCTCTCTATGAAAGGAATGTGGGTGTATTGGTGTAGTTAATTTATGTGACCTTTAGCATAGGCAGAGACTCATTTCATTCCCATTTTTGTTCAATCACTATAGTAGGCCTTTGTGTTAAGAGAGTACCTCTTGGCTTCTTCCAGAAGACTTGCTGAGAGTGAGATACAGTGGCTCCTCAGATGGTGTATCAAAGGCTTCTACCAGAGGTTGTTGCTGAAGTTCAAGTGGCATTTTATCAGATGAACAAGAGGTGCTGGAGACTGCTTATACTGAAGAATACGATGTATGCACTTTGAACAGAATCAGGGGACAATATGGGCCAGGATGTGGCCAAGTCCTTTCCTCAGGCAAGATAGTCAACAGAATTGTGTGATGTGCCCATTCTCCCCTTCCTTGTTTATCCTCTTACTTCTGATAATCTCTTATCCCCCTCTCTAGTTTGATTTTGGTTGACAGATATAATACCAGCTTTTATATTCTAACAAAATGTAATCTTTTTCATCTTCTGGGAGTATTTGCTTTTCAGATCCTACCAACTGTAAACTAATGGGTTTGTCCTAGTTTAAGGAATTTCAGGTAAATCCTACTTGGTTACTGGGAGGCTCACCAGGTTGGCAGTGAGTAAATGATCACTTAACACACATAGGACACCACATTCAAGCTCTTTAATTCAAGATGCAACAATTAGGGCAAAATCTAGGGTAATAATTTTTTTTTGACACTGTGTATGTGGGATCCTTTTTCTTCAGGTGTGATGGACCCTTACTTGATTGTATAGCAGCTGCGCTGTTATGGTCTCTTGGAAGGTACTAGGATATGCTGTGAAGATTTTCCAAACTGACTGCTATATGTTGATTTTAAACAAAGGTAAACAAGAATCCCAGGTTCAAAGAATCCTGAATCAGTTTATTCTGTTCTCCTCTCTTCCTGAGTGTTTAGGCATGCATTGTTTGTTTGGCTGATGTCCTCTAGACTGCAAGTCGATATGTTTTGGTGTGGTGAGATATATGATGGCAGAATTCCCTTATTATATCCCCTTAAATCCAAAATCCATGTAGCTCTAATATCCTTAAATCTCTATTAATGGATAATAGAGCTGCATATAGAAGAAATATGTACAGAAGAAAGATATGGAGACTGAATTGAATCTCTGAAATGTTGTCTATACTTAATTGAAGCTTCCATCCACGCAGGCTGTTGCTTTACTAGCAAACAGGTGAAAGGAAGGGAGCCAGCAGGGTTTCTGCAGGAAGCAGTAAAGACGTCTTTGCTTTCCATTTCCCCAGTTCTATAAGTATACATTATAGGTCATAAGCATATATAGAGTAGGAAAATACCCGTCTCAGAATTAAATATGTTCTTAGTTCTCCACTAGTTCATCATTAGGATGAAGACACCTTAGGAAAGACATTTAGTGTCTCTGCTTTTCAGTTTCCTTCTCAGTATAATGGAGATGCTTCAGCCTCCTTTTTCTAGATCTTTCTCTTCTCAGAGAATCAAATGAGGTTGTCCTTCATGCACTATGAAAAGTGCAAACTATTGTACCCCCATAACACATAATTCTTGGAGCCTCATTTTTGTGCCCAGGTGTTTTGGAAACATGAACCTATTGGTAGGAGAGGTTTTTTCCTGTTCTTTAATGGAGTCATGGAAAGTAAGCAAGCAAAACCTCCAAACAAAGGGAAGGTGAGAAAAGTGTTTTGTTGTTGTTTATTTTTTCCCATAGCATAGTTTACCTTATAGAAAGCAGTCCACAGATCTTGGTATAACTAGCTTAACTGACAATATTAATTCCTCCATTTCCTCAAAGAAGAAAAATATACACAGTGACATCAAAGATACTTTCTGAAAGTCTTCTCTAACCTTCAACTAGTGCTTAGTTTGGCATATTAGTGTATAGGAGTTTGGGCATCAGCGGACTTGATTTCTAGGGCTGGTTGTGAAAGCTTGGATAAGACTAATTTTCCCACAGTTCACTTCCTTCATCTCTAAAATGAAGTCTTTACTATTCATTTTTTTCCCTGTATCATAGGGTGACTTAAAAATTATTATGAAATATTTCAAATGCACAAAATGTAGAAAATGCTCATTCAGAGCTGCTATCACCAAAACAAATCAACTCTTGGCATTTTTTAATAGCTCCCTTGAGCCAATACCTACATAGATATGTAAATATGGTGATCTTCTTAAAAAGTTAACATGATTTTTGTGGTTTAGTCTTTATGTATATAATATTCAGTATGTATTATCCTGAAGTATTCTTTACATTCAATGCTATTTTTTAAATTTATTAATGTTAATAAAACTCATGCTAGATTATGGATTTTCCCTACCACATAGCACTCCATTGCATCAATATATAATAATTTATTCATTTTCCAACTCAAAAAATTCAAGTCATCTATAATATATGCTGTGACAAATGGTTTTACAATAACATTTTTGTAAATGTATCCTCCTGCACAAGTGATAGTGTTACTCAAAATATTGGTCTTTGCTCTGATAATTTGTGGGAAGTAGCTGAAGGAGGCCCATGCTTTTAAGAGCCATTTCTCCAGGTTATGATTTATTAGGCTTTAGTCTATACACAGAGTTAATGAGATGTTGCCAAGATGGATTCTCATTTACTCTTCATCAGACTACATGAAAGTCCATGCTCTGTATTCTCACCAACTTGTGGCATTTCAGGTTTCAAAACCTTTTTACTGACTGTCTTATTTCAGACTTTGGGAAAACTATCATTTCCTTTTTGAGATAATGTTTTCTGGATTTTTTTTCATGTATATGATTCCTTTCATATTTTGTTAAACAGTTTTTTCTGTCTTTAAAAAAATCACATACTTTTGTTCTATTGTCTACAAATAGGTGGAATTGCATAAACATATTTTTAAAAAATCTGAAGCCTACAATATTTATGAAATACCTTTTTTAGACTTTAATGGGTTTGGTTGTAGTAGTGTAAGATTTTTTTTTTTACACTTTAGGTTTATTTTATTAATTTACAATTTGTTAGTGTGTTTAATCAACAGCTTAGTTCTTCCAGGATTGTGTTTGATTTTAGTTACCATACTTTTTAGTTTTAGACATTTTATTTGTTCCACTTTCAAATTTGTTTGCTTGCCCCTGAATTACAAGGACTTATTTCTTTTTTCAATTATTTACTTTTATGACATTAATATTTTTTAATAATTACTTTATGGCATCCACCAGATGGTTCAATTATCTTATTTAATCAAACCTTTTATTATAGGTGCTCATCTTCACTAATGGCTTTTTTTGTAATTTTGAATTGCAAGCTTATCTTCAGGGAGGTTTTTACCTAAGTGAATTTCTGTTGCTTGACTTCAGGGTATTTTCTTCAGTATATTCTTGTATTACCAGTGTAAAGAATTATTATGATAATTTATTGCATTTTTCTGGACTTATTAAGTAGCATAATTTAAACCTCAAACACTCCAATGGTGCTATTCAGTGGTGCTATTCATGATAAAAAGAACAGTCCTTGAAGCAGGCTTTACTTCCTTTACCCTAAGCTCAAACCATATCAGATGTACTTTTCTTTGACATCTCTATATGCCAGTGGGTGGATTTTCCAGTCCTCATTTACAATGACTGAAATTCTCTGAAGATATCAGCCTATATGAGTATAATGAGTATAACAATACAAGCCCATAAACTATTAAGGCTGTCTCCCTCCTTCCACCAAGATGGCCAAACTACGCTGCCCATGTCTCTAGTTCCCTCCTTATTTCTTACCCTCTTTCAGCCTCAGCTCCCATTTTAAGAGTAGTTATGGTGGGAGCATGTTCAGGACATTAATTTACAATTTTGGTAGCCCTGGAAGTCCCTCATAAGCCAGTGCCAAGTAAGGTAATAGATGTAGAAGTGCTTTGAAGACTAAAGAGAATGTTTCATGACTCTAAAAAGATGAGCTTATTTTAGATCTTATTTGTAAATAAAATCTCTTATAGTCTAGGTTAACTTGCTTTCTTTTATCTTTCTTGATTAGTGATGCAATTCTTTTGATTCAGTGAAACATAAGAGCTTTCATGACTGTGAGAGCTGGCCGTGGATAAGTTTCTTCTATAAGATCAAGCCCCCTTGTCAAGTCTACCAGAAAGGGAAAGGAGAGAGATGGGCTGAAGGAAAACTGTGTACCACCAAAGCAAAAAGTCTTAGAGGAATCAAAATCTCAGAGGAACTAAAAGCCAAGCAAATTTTCCTCATGAGGAAAAAGAATGACCTGCTACTTCAGCTGCTGGCCGTGAGTGGTTCTACCATTTGTTTTTCAAATCAAGTTTTAATTAGATTCCCTTGTTTTGCAGGCTGATGTTAAGTTGAAAAGAATAGAGGTGCATAGGTTACAAATAACAAGTATTTCATCAAACATAAACAATGTTTGACACCACTTAGAGGCCTTGTTTCAGAGTGATGTGGTTTCTTTGGCAGGGTTTCTTTGAAGAAGGGACAAACTGATAAATCAATGATGGGAGTCAGAAGGCTATGTGTCTTAATTTGCTTTGTATGTAGTACATGATCTATTAGCAAATCAAAAACCAATATGTTAGTAGCACGAGAAATGCTTTCCTGCTATCTTCAGGATTTTGTATGTTTTAGTTGGTTTTCCTGAATTTGGTCTCCCTACCTTCCTGTCTCCAGTTCAAATTAATATTACCAACCAACCAGATTCTTAAAACTAAAGTATCCAAACCTGATTTATATAAAATCATTAGTGAAGCATTAGGAAAGGAAAGATTGGTTGAGTACACTTGGGGATATTTTGATCATGGAGGGCTGTGTGGGTCTGGATACTCTTCTGTAATGCTGATATCCAGTAAAGACTGAGAACACTGCCTTAAACCTCAACTTGCTTCCCTACTGAAAATCAGATCCTACAATATGTACAGTAGAGAACCCAAGTCCTTGCCCTGTCATTTGGGCCTTCAACTCCAACCTAATGCTGGTCTGCCTTGACTCACTCCCTATCGCCTGTCTCCTCCCTAACCACCAAAATGTCCCAAAGGCAAGATTGGAATTGCCCAGTAAGTATTCACTCAACATCATCTGTAGCTCCTTGGAAGTCTTGGTTAGCAAAATGATGCATATTGAATGAATTTCATCAAAGTCTATTTGATACAAACAAGAATAAAATTCCTATGGCATTATTTCTAGTCACAGGAGCATCACCAAACTTCTAAATTAAGACCCAAAAGACTTCTAGTATTGAACAAAAATTTGTTTTTAATCATTTATTTTCTAGCCCACTTTATTCCCACTCAGGGTTGAGGTGGCCAGAGTCTATGCCAGTAGATCCAGGAGCAAGGTGGGAACAAGCCCTGGACAGGATGCCCTTTCATCTGTGGGCACTCATCCACACCCTCACTCACACTGGGAGAATTTAGACAACGTGTACATCTTTGGAATCTGGGCAGAAATTAGAGTACCCAGCGAAGACTCCCAGACATGGAGAACATACAAACTCTACCACATTGTTGGGGAATCATTCTTTTTCCTCATCCTTAAATTATAACAAGACAAAAGTGAACGAGGCATTACTCAGCCACCTGCTGTTCTATATTATATTTTCTACCTCACTAATCACAATTTTAAAGTTAAAAATACTGGGTTTAAATGCCAGTATATAAAGCAGCTTTTCTTGCTTTTTGAACTTACTGAAGTTAGCATATTTAGTAATTTAGACTAGCCCAAGTTGTTTTAGTTTTGGGCCATCCTAGTGGACAAAGTTCCAATGGACCCTATGGTATGTACATAATATAGCAGTGAGTCTAGATCAGCCTCACCTGGGATGCTTGTTAAAAATACTCTTTCCTGGGCCCTGTTCCAAGCCTATGTTAAGATCCAAAATGTGGGAATCACAGTTTATAATATCATATGCTTTCTGGCTTAGGAGAGAGGCCTCTCAGTTTTCATCATTTTTCATGTAGGCAGAGTGAGTAGCCATTGCTACCCGGGTTAAAGTTGGAGGTAGGAATGCACCCAAGGAGGTGGTAGGCACAAGCCTGTGATACAAGATAAAGGGCCAGTACAGGAAGCACAGGAAACATGCAGAAGCTGATTCCAGGGAAGACCCAGGAAGGCAGAAATGAGTTCAATCTGTCACTGTGACTTGAGAAGTTGGCAGAGCTGTGCAATATTTTACAATTTATTTTTAAAGGACATAGCTAAACATGGCAGGGAGCAAGTACACAAGGATTCTTTGGAAATCATTCACTTATTCAAGCACCAGCATGACTGAGCGAGCCCATTCCATTTAACATTAGAGTATAGGATAGAATAGCTGTCACCGGGGAAAGGATCGTCCTATTGTTAACTGCCAAACCACTGCTCAGCTGGCCCTCAAATTCCACTGTCCTGTTTAATGAAGAGCTCAAGGATGGTTGATTGTACTCTCCTCCTCATTGGATGATGGTGACAGGTCTCATACACATGCTGAGTGGAACAGAGCAAGTCACTCTTATGCTTGCCAAATTGGGTGGACTCAGGGCAAAAGTTCTTATTTCCCATAATGGGAAGCGTCTCTGATATATATGGACCTGTTCTGCTTTGACATTTTTGTTTGTGTTTAATTTAGTCCTTCTCTTTTAGGTCCTCAGCAAAGTTGGAGATTTACTATTATATGCCTCCCTGCCCCGCACACACATACTCCTGTCTGTGCCCACTTGATTCCCACTTATTGGCAGTTATTCTCTTGCCAGGAGTTAACCAGAGGCCAATAAACTGCATCTTTGCCCTTTTCTATTCTTGATCTGAGTAGCTGAAATGGCTTAGGCCAGGCAAATAGATAGCCAGTAAGTTGCCCAAACTGGCATATGGTAGAGTGGAGGATGAGGGCTAGAGGTGGGAGATGGAGGTATACATGGTTCATTACAGTGAGATCTACACTAAGAACTTGCTCATAGAGAAGGGATTTAACTTAGCCTCTAATGGAAACAAATTAGAGTGTTTTAAAGTGACAGAAGGTGTTTTTGTAGCAAAAAGCAATAAAACCCTTCATTTTTTTGACTTGACCCATAACACAAGATGAGTGGGTAACTCAGCTGGAGGCAGTGCATTTGAGAGGGAATAAGGAAAAGACATTTTACCTTCTTTGTGTATAACTTGTAAATTTTACTGCTAGTAGAATCATTGAGGAAAAGATTTCACTTGGAAATAATAGTAAAATCTAGTTAGAGATTGCAAGTAATCTCATGAATTTGAATTCAGTCTATGAATAAAAAAGCACAGTTTTGTTGATTAGAAGATACCTGTATGTATTAAACAAATGCATCTGAGATCTTATAATAATACTATAAATATTCCATTGTCTGAGAAACACAGCATCTAGTCTTCAGACAATATTCTGAACAGGTACCAGCCTCAAACTAAATATCCACCTGGATGCTTCTAGAAGCTGTGATTTAAGCAGTTCACCACTGATTTTTGGAGGCATGTTAGCTCCTTTAGACCACTAGGATTCTATTAAGTGCTTTAGAAGAAGTAATCTAATCTACTGAATGACTTGAAAGATAGAAAGCACCTCCAAACACAAGCAACTCCTCCACTTCTCAATAATAAGATCAGGGAACTGGGAATATTATTTCAACTGCTTAGGAAAGGTAGGTGAGAGTGCTGTGCAGAAGGGCAGGCAATTATCTCTTTGCTATGTGTTAAGCAGCATTTTCGCCTGGCTGATAAATTACTTCCAGCTGTTGGCAACAATTTTCTCCTCATCATGGCAGGAGCAAGAGACCCTGGCAAATGTTGAAGAGCAGTGCGAGTCGCTGATTAAATCCAAGATCCAGCTGGAGGCCAGAGTCAAGAAGCTGTCTGAGTTTGTGGAGGAAGAAGAGGAGATAAATTCTGAACGGACTGCCAGGGGGCGGAAACCCAAAGATGAATGTTCTGAGTTGAGGAAAGAAATCGATGACCTGGAAACAATACTGGCGAAGTCAGAAGAAGCATGCTACAGGACACAGGTGCTTTTCCTGTAACATTGGAAAAGCCTTCATGCTGGAATCCACTCCTAATCAGGCTTTGGTTACCAGACTTGATCTGCTTAAATTAATTAACAGTGGTCTGCAACTTTGCAGCCATGGGAGTTAAACTGGCAGAAAATGAAGGGTCTGATGAACTGTGTTGTTCCAATTCAAATTTCCAACTCAAATTTATAGACCCTCACTTAATCTCCCCAATGAAACATTTTCATTTGTTGCAATCTTATTGCATCTGAAATCTAATTGAAAGGGCAGAAGGGTTTCATCAGGCCTGTAGTATCCACTTTTTTAGAGGGAGAGTGAGCTTGATGCAGTTTACTAAAAGGTGATTTGGGATGTGCCTGAATCCCCATTTCTGTCATTGATGTGGAGTTTGACCTTGGTGAGGTCACTTTAATTCCAGTTAAGAACTTGGATGTTTTGTTTTTGTTGAGGTTTTCAACTTGTGCATCTATGTATTGATTAAAGTTAACTGGAGTCTGTATTAAATCTAATAAATAGTACCCAGCATGACACTGTAATTTGGGCAGATAATTAAATAGAATCTCTTGTGCCATGGTTCCCTTTCATCAAAACACATGGACCTTGTATAGTCAACTTCCCTTTTTTGTGCATGTAAGAAAAATTAGTTGTTTTTTTTTTTAAGATTTATTTATTCATACAGAACTGGAGTACAGGCCAGAGATGCAGAGAATGAGAGGATTCACCAGGAACAGAGCGGGGAGCAGAACAGGCAGATCTACGAAGTACACTGCTGAGGGGAGCAGCTGGCGGGTCAGGAGAGGTCTGCCACACCATGTGGATCTCCTCCGGGCAGTCGGAAATTGAACTCATGCGGAAGTGGCTTAAGCTTCTTAGTGCAGTGCTTTAACCCGCTGCGCCACCAGGGAGGGCCCTAGAGTTTTTCAAGTCTGAAAAACTTGGCTAAATTTGATTCTTTTCGACAGTGGAGACCTCATGATTTTATTTATTTTTAATCCTAGCAATGAGAGAAGATGACCCTTAATTTTATGCCCAACCTTCCAGGGGTAGCTGTGATGAAGCTGCTGCTGTTGTCTTCCCACAGATCAAGAACTTGACTGAGGAAGTGGAGTCTGTAAAAGAGGAGATAGGCAAAGTGCACAGTGTGATGATGAGGTATGGAAGGCCCTCCAGCAGACCCTGGTCAGCCTGGAGTCTGAGGGGAGAGACCCACCTGAGCAAAGCCACATTAAAATTGAAACAGCAAGTGGAAAAGGTAGGTCACGATATGTCTAGCAGGCTAGCTTTCTCTATAGACTCCAACCTCCACCTTTAACTTATCTTGACAGTTTCTGCAAAATTTATGAGCTTCATTTGTTTCCATTGTTATTTAGGAATACAGGTGCTATTTGTTTTATTAAATTTTTTTCTGATATCATTGTTCATTTTTGGACAGTGTTTGATTTCGCCCTTTAGGAATAGTCTCCATAGTTCTCCCACCACAATACCTGTGATCTGTCCCATAGAGGTGCTTTTATCTTAATGGACACTGGGCCACTACCATATAAGCAGCTCCAGAATGTAATCTGTGAGGTTTTGATCTTTTTTAGTGTACTATATTTTAAATATTTATTTATTTATGCATACAGAACTAGGGTAAAGGACAGAGGGGCAGGGGCAGTGGGAGGATTCACCAAAGACAGAGTAGGGAGCAGAACAAGCTGACTGATGAAGTACACTGCTGAGGGAATGAGCAGGTGGGTCAGGAGAGGTCTGCCATGTCATGTGGGTCACTTCCTTGGCCAGGAATTGAACTTGTGCTGAAGTGCCTTTAGCTTCTTAGTGCTGTGCTTTAACCTGCTGTGCCACCAGAGAGGGCCTATTATATGTTGACTTCCGACACTATATGATTTAGGGGTATTGGCTCACATCTCTTCAGATGTATGTTACCTCTCCACTTCCACCAAGGTCCCATAGTCCTCTACCATGGTCCAGTATCTTCTTGTTCCCCACATCAACCACATCAAATTACTGATTCAGCATTATCATGTCTAAATGTGGAATGAAAATATTAATATAGAAAAAACACTTATTCCATGATGATGTCTTCAGCACCTGTTAAGTACCTAATCTGCCAATTTCAAATGCACCTTTCATCCCTGGGTAGTAGATAAAGAACATTAAGGTTAATCATAAAAGGGTACCACTGCCTTTCCCCCATGACCCCACATAACTTGGCGCTTGCTTGGTTCCATAGTTCTGTTGACACTAATGATGGAGAATCGGACTAAAGGCGGGCTGTGACTCAAGTGGTGTGCTGAGATTTATGTGTAGTTGAAAGGTGTGTGAGTCACAAGCTTTTCTATTGTAAAGTACTTATAGGTACATTCTAAAGATTGTACCTTGTACCTATTCTACCTCCAACACTGTGAGTAATAAAGATGCTTTAGGATTTCAGATAAGTTTGAATGGGTGTGTACATCATTCTTCTTTTCCCCTCCTCAATTGATATTGTCTTCTCTTATTAGTCTAAAAACTCAGACTTTATAAAATGCTGACAAGGGGGTTAGGACTTGGTTTTCAATTATCTGCTTTATTCCCCTTCATGCCTCTCTGTCGGTTTCTTCTATTACCTAGCATTTCTCACTCTTTTCCAATTTCCACTGTTTTGTGTCTCACAAAGTCTCATGATGAGGATTTATTGGTGTTTGTGTGGTGTCTACATGCTCATTGCTCTTCCTCTTCTTCCTCCCTTCCCCACCTCCTTCTTTCCCCTCTCACCAGTTTATCATTTTCAGGCATTTATATCCACCTTTCAGAAATCTCCCCCATTTGAGTTTCTTATCTTTTGAGAGTTAGAGGAAATAGCTTCTGTTGGTAAAAAGTAAACATAACAGTGATCAAAAGTCATAGTGTAGCTGCTACATGGCCTCAGGTCATATGCAATGTGTTTGAAAGGATCAGTGATCTTGAATGGGGAAGCCAGGGCCGCTGCCAACTATGCATAGATAATCATGCAGGCACAGACTCACTCATGGTGGCTCCAGAGAGCAAACTTGTGGGAAGAATTTGCAGAGAATATTCTGGCTTTTAGCTCAAGTAAAAGGGGATGTGCCCATGCATGAAATCAGCTGCCAGGTGAAGTGAGCTTCCCGTCACCAGAAAGTGATCAAACAAGGCTCACTGGCCAATTATCACTGGTTCCTTCCCTAGGGTGGGGCTCCTATTCCTTAATCTCTAAAGGCTTCTTTTGTCATTGACAGTTTCTAGATTCTTTTATTTTCCTGTTGATGCAGGTAACATTTATTTTAAAGTAGCTGTATAGTTGGGAGTCATTCATAGAATCTGAATTTGTATTGTCCTTTTTCCCATACAGTAACTGGTTAATGAACACATCTAATAAAGTATGAACTTTACCAATTTGTTTGATTAAATAGTATCAAAAGTATCATAATTTATCAGCTCAAGGGTGTCCTTCAGCAAGGAAGAAAAAGCTGTGAAAGGGAGAAGCAATTTAAAGCAGAACCAGAAAAGTAAGGAGGACCTAGAAAGCAGCTGGCTGGAGCTCACAGAAAAGCTGAGGAAGTAAGCCCCTTTTTTGTTGACATCAGGGTCTGGGAGAGAATTGGAAAGAACAGCATTCCCACATCATTTATCTTTGTGACTCCAGGGCCACATATCTCAGTATCTGTAGGGGGGAAGATAACAAGTCTAGGAAAGAGAATTTTTTCTGCACTTTATACATTTACTACCCTTTACAGCTATATAGTAATCTAGAAGAATATAACTGAGAAGCCATCTGACAAACAGATGCAAATGAAAGGTATAAAGCATATGAGATGAGAATTATTGGAATTTGAGGCTACAAGTTAAAAAATAAAAATGGCTCACTATTGCTCAGGATGAGACCAATGGCATAACTTTCTTTTTAATTAAAAAAAAATTAAAAATTGCAGCCTCCCTGGGGTGCAAGGGGTTAAGTCGCAGCAGTATGAAGTAATCTGTAGCCATTGCAGCACGAGTTCGATCCCAGGACAGGGAGGTGACCCACATGGTGCAGCAGACCTCTCCTGTTTCTCCTGCTCTTACCCTCAGCAGTGTATTTCAGTACATCTGCCTGTTCTACTCCCCATTCTGTTTCTGGTGAATCCTCTCACCCCCTGCAATTTTGGCCTATACCCCAGTTCTTGTATTCATAAACTAATCTCTAAAATTAAAAAGCAACCCTAGTGTGAAGTCTGATAGACTCTGATCACATTAAATAACAAAACAAAACCCCTTTTGCTTTGTTTGACAGATAAAACTATTTTATATTCATAGGCTTCTTGGGTGAAAATTTACTACAGAAATATTAAGCCTTAACATCTCAAGCAAAATCTAAACACATTCAAAAATAGCTGTCAGTTCACATAGATTCCTTATAACCCAAGGAGTCAGGCTGTGATGGTCTCCTGTTTCACTGTTCAGTGAAACGAATTTTCTCCTTGTCCCTTTTGCCTTATTAGTTTTTAATCTAGGTTATCTTCTAAGTATTAGGGTGAATGAAATGTGAGGGGGAAACCATGAAGTCCAGTAGTGAGATAAGGCCAGGTTAAAGCTGGGAGCACATTGTTAATTGGGGTACCCATTGAAACCAGTGAACTTCCATGAGCTTCTGATTTTCTTTTGTGTGAGCAAAGAATTGCCACTATACATCTCAGGGAGGCTTGATCAATATTCTACTGCCAAGTTACTAAACTTGATAGGTGTTTGGAAAAGATAAAATAAGGAATCTTATGAATGGAATAGAATGATACAAGACGAAATGATAAGGTTTCCCTTAGTGTTCAGTTGAGAAGTCTCCGTTTTACTCAGCAAAATGAAAACAATGCTCTACACCCTCATAGGCAACAGGTCAAAGAGCACCAGCCCTGTGGAAATCCATGTTTCTACTTCATTGGAAAACTTTTCTTTAAATGCATGTATGTGTATAAGGAAACTTATTGCTTAATAGAAGTGGGCTTTTAAATTTGTAAAGAGACACCACTTAATAAATAGTGCTGAGATTATTCAAATAGCTATTCATTTTCGAAGTTAAAATCTTAATTTCTATCTCACACTACTCACTAAATCTGCTTTCATTAAAGAATTAAATGTAAAAACAAAGCCTTAAAACCATCAGAAAATGCATTCTTTTATTTTTTTTTTAAAGATTTATTTATTTGTGCATATAGAACTGGGGTACAGGCCAGAGGATCAGGGGTGGCGAGAGGCTTCACCAGAGACAGAGTGGGGAGCAGAACAGGCAGATCGACTGAAGTACACTGCTGAGGGGAGCAGCGGGCGGGTCAGGAAAGATCTGCCACACCATGTCAGGAAAGATCTGCCGCGCCATGTGGTTACTTCCAGGTTATGCGGGGATCGAACTCATGGGAAAGTGGCTTTAGCTTGTCAGTGCTGTGCTTTAACCAGCTGCGCCACCAGGGAGGGCCCACAAAATGCATTCTTAATCACAAATGCTGAGATAAACAATCAAAATACCCCTTGATGGATGAATGGCTAAAGAAAATGTGGTATATACATATAATGCATCATTATTCAGCCTTGAAAATGAAGAAAAATTTCTTCATTTGATGAATCTGGAGGAAAATAGGTTAAAGCAGTCACAGAAAGCCATGTGTGGGCTCCCACGCTTATGATGCATCTGAAATACTCAGTCATAGAAATGGGGAAGAGTGGTGGCTTCCAGAGGCTGCAGCCAGGGGAAAGAGGGAGTTAGTGAGTAATGGATAGTAAGTTGCTGTTATGCAAGGTGAGGCATTCCAGAAGTCTGCTATACACCAACATTGTGCTTGTAGTCAACAATGCTGCTTTGTATACTAAAGTATATGTTAACAGGGTAAATCTTATGTTTACTGTTCTTACTGCAGTAAAAACAGCAACAACAACAACAACAAAACACACCATCAGGAGACAATATAGGTGATCAATCTTAGAAAATTGGCAAGTCAATCTTAAATCACAAGAAAACCAGACATAAAAAGATTATTTTCACAAATTTGACTACATGAAATTTTTAAACATTTTTATGTGGCAAAAACCAACATAAATAAAATAGGAACAAATTATAATGTGGAGAAATATTTGCAACAGATATAAAAATATCATGAATAATAAAGAGTAAATTCTTAATTCTACAATTGTGTGAACAACCAGGTAGGAAAAATGGGCAAAGGACACAAGCAAGCGGTTAGTTCATTGCTCTCGCTAATAAACAAGGGCCTTCAAAATAAAGCAATTTCCTGCTAACCTATTCTCTCCCATAAGGAAAACCTTAGAGTTAGGTCAATATTAAGCACACATATACAGAAATAATAATCTAACATTGCTATAGAAAGGCAAAGCGTAGTGCTCTATACTTGTAAGCATCTACCTATATCTGACCCAGCAATTCCCTGACAATGTCCATGCTAGAGAGATACTTTCTTGTACACAGGAACATATATTTGAACATGCTTATTTTTAAAAACAGACTATTGAAGAAACCCTAAGTGTTTGTAAATAGGGGAATGGATTAATATTGGAAGTCTACATCAAGAAAAGTAGTATGTTAGTTAATTTTTGAATGAAATTATGTGTGGGCCAACCTAGAAAAATCTTTAGTGTATTATTGGGTAAAAATACATTATAGAAATAAAAGTACAAGTGCATAAAATTCTTTATTTTTCACAATAAAGAAAATGGAATTATTTCTATTCATAGTCTCCAGCATGTCAATACTTAGAAAAATGTCTGGAAAGATTGCTATCAAATTCATTACAGTAGTTACTCTGGGGAAGGAACAGAATTGCGTGTAATAGCCAAGACTTCAGATACAGATGAAATAGTTGAAAATTGACAATGAGAATGAATTTGTGTTATTATAATTTTAAAACATTTAAACAAAAGTTTGTCACTCTGAACAATTCATTTTTATACTTTTATTTTCTTAACAGAGGAGAATTACAACTTATATCAGATGAATTCAAACATGGAGAATGAGAAAGGAATAGTGGCTCAGAAGATGGTCAAAGAGCACAAGGTAATCAGTTATCAAAAACCTGCATGTACCATGTGTTTCTGTGACAATCTGTTGCCAGGGTCTCCATGTCCTTAGCCAACTATAGACAGACGAAAAAAGAACAGTGGTTAAAAAGGTAACCTGGAGCACCCTACAGCTATATGACTCTGGCATAAATTACTTTGTAAGCTCAAAATTCTTTGAGGATAATTAAAACAAATAGACAGTTTGTAGAATGTTTTCTGTTATCTAGGCATTGTGCTAAAACCCTGCACGTGTATTTTTTCACTCATTAATCCTCCTGACAACCTCTGAGCTAATATTATTAAATGCAGCAGAAAGTGGTAAGCTGTTACCTGACCCATGCTAAGCATTCAGTGTTAGCAATTTAATTTTTTATGATGATTAGTCTTTTGGATTAGAAGTTAATTATGCTGGAAATCTGTTTTGTAATGACTTGAAGCCACAAACATTATTTGATACTGGGTAGTTATTTTATAAGTTTTAGGCCATGTGATCGCTTTATTTTATATGTCTATATTCTAAGGTAATTTAAATATATATACATACTAGACACACGTACAATAGCTTATATATGCATACAGATGTATATTTTTTGTGGAAAATGAATCCATTTCAGTAATGTAACCACTACTCAAAATAATTTTGGGGTCTCTGACAATTATCTTCTTATATTTTGAGTCAACGAATTATCAGTCTCACTGCTTTATGGACATGTTTTCAGACACAATGTCAATCTCTAAGTGATTATCTATTACATTCACTAGGTTTATTTTCAAATGACACTTGGCTTTGTCCAAAAGAAATTCAGTGTATCCAGAACATAAATTTTCTTACCTTGACAATAAAATAAAATGCTCCGAAGATGATTTTCTGAAAAAATATTTCAGAAATATTTAGTTCAGTGACAATATTGTTTGGAATAAAGGTTTGGGATCCCAAAATAACTAGTTGGAAAAGAATCAATTTTCCTGGATGTGAAAATCATAAATTTTGTTAGCACCTTTGCTATCACCACCCATCTATAAATATGACAGTCTACTTACTTGGTATGGTCTAAGAAATTAGCTTTCTCTAAGCCATGGTATCCTTCTATTCCCTCCCAAGCCTAGCCTGTATCTAGTTACTGAAGGTCATGTCAGTGAAGGTCATGTCAATGACCTCACTGTGCTATACTACAAGGTTGCTACTAAGATTAGTAGCCTTGACACTGAAAGAATGTGAGGTTCTCAGAGTTCTTACAACTCTTCTCATCTAATGATTCTTCCTTTCCTGGTATCAGATTGCTGCTCCCTCCCTAGTCCCCCACCAACCCTAATTTATTTCAAATCCGCCACTTGAAATCACCTGCATTCTAAGAAACCAAGTAATCAAGTTTGATCGAATGGTTTATAAAATTAATGTTTTTATAATAGTAAGTTTCTTAATCTTGGAAGTATTCATTCCATTGATCAGCTTTTGGTCAAGTTCCTAACAGTTGAGATTGTCAGGTAAAGGAAGTCCAAATGAGTGAGGTATAAAATATACAGATTCATAATCTTTAAATTCTTTTCCTTGTTAATATCAAAGTTATTTCCGATTCCTTTATAAAGAGCTTTTTGCTAAGGTTTCCTTCCACATATATAATTTAATGAAGTTGCTTTAACAAAGATCTGAGGGAACTGCAAATTTTAATTCTGCTCTTGGCTCTAATTTGGAGCAAATCATTTAATTTCTGGTATTTTATTTTCTTTCAGGATAAAATGGGAACCAAATGTGTTATGTTACTTTTCTTAGTTGTGAGGAAAAAAAGATACTGTAAGGCTCTTGAATACAAAATATGCTGTAAGAGCTTAGTAAAAGTCAAAATTATTTATTGCTGCAGACTCAAATGCATGATTTGAAAGAGGAAGCGGGAGATGAAAGGACCACTTGCACCAAGGTGAAGCAGAGAGGGTTGACCTCACTCAAGAGCTGGAAGACTTAAATGAGAGGCTGGAGGAGGAGGGGTGGGGGCAGTTTGGCTCAGCTAGAGGGAAACTAGAAAGCAGCAAATGGAAGTTTAGAAGCTTTGCAGAGGGATGAAGGAGGCCACACTGCACTGTTGAGGCCCCTTTGAAGAAGGGACATGCAGACAGCTTGGCTCAGCTTGAGGGCCAGGTAGCAAATCTGCAACAGACCAAGCAGAAATCATAAAAAAGACAACAATGATTTGGAGCTAGAAGGGAATTGCCTCTTCTATGTTGAACAAATGACTAGAACTCAGGTAAACATTCTCTGGTCTTTCCTATGGACTTCAGAACATGAACGTAGATTGGGGAGGGAAAGGGAAAGGAAATCAAACCAGATAGAGGACTTGAGGTGTTTGCTTATAGAGACTACAGTGCTTCAGATGGATTAGGTCAAACCTAACCTCAGCAGTTTATCTGGGTCTTTCTAGTGATTCTATAAGTAGGCTGGAAAAGTGGAGCCACTAGCGGTGTAAGTGGTCTGTCTCTTTGCATTGGAAACCTCCTTAGGGATGGCTCAGTTACTGCCAGAGTCTCTGTGAAATAATGCAGGGGATACACCATTTTGCTGAAAGGAGAGAACTTTGTGCTTCAGTCCTTTAGCAGCTCCATAACCAGTCAGCACTAGAAGAAAGTTTCGTCACTATTTTACATGTTCTTTACCGAGCTCATTAATCCAACCACTTCCTAGTATACAAGCTCTCATCTCAAATGACTAGCACCAAATCAGACAATGGCCAACCTCTTTTTTGGTGTTGATAGGAGGCTTGCTTTAGGTTAAGTAGAGTATATAGCTAATGCTAATTCTCCCTGCAAGCAGAATTTTATAATCAACTAGAAGAGAGACCAACTAACAATGAAACTTGATGTTTAGGGACCACAGCTAGAAAAATGGAGATTCTCTTTAGAAATATTGCATGGTTCCTAAAGTGTTTAGTATTCCATTTCTACTTACATAGAAACACAAGCACCCTGTGTTCCCTCTTCATCTCCACTCTCATTGCTAACTTAACTCAATTATCTTGAATATAAGTCTAGTGGGGACTTAGGCCATCTTTTCTATCTTTTCTGTATGCTGCATTTTATAGGACTCTGTCTTTCCCTCAGCAATAAAACATTTTCTTTGTTTTCATTTCTCTTTCTTAGCTCAAAAGAGCAAAGTCTTGTTTGAATCTGCCTTTTTGACCAGAGGGTGTTTTGAATGATTAATTGCTGGATAATTAATCAGCCCCAAGGCATTATATCTTAGAAAAACAATTTGTTATTAATTTCTCTTGGTTATTGATTGGGATAACTCAAATGGTGGTTGGGATTGGAGTTAATCTGAAGTTTTATTCATTCATGTCTAGCTCACTGACTGGTGTAGCGAGAATAGCTGGGGACTGGTAGGAAATCTCGCCAGGTGACCTCTTTCCATGGCTACTTGGGCTTCTCATAGCTTGGCAGCCGCAGGGGAGTTGAATCTCTTACCTGGCAATTGTGGGCACTAAATGCAGGTATTCCAAGAAACCAGGGCAGGACTCAGAAAGTTTCTTGTGAGGTAGACTCACATTGTAACCAGGTGACTCTGTGTGACACCTGTCAGTTAAACAAAATCACAGGGCCAGGAGCTACACACAGATACTAGAGGGTTGGCTCATTGAAGGGTTGTCTTTGGAGAGTGACTCAACAAGCAGGTGTGCCACTCTCCCTTCTCTCTCTTAAGCCCTGCAATCTGTCTTCCACCTCCCCCACTTAGTTTTCCCTTTAATTATTCTTTCGAAAATCAGTAATGTCATCCGTTCAGCACCAAATTTAGCACCCTTTCTGAAACTGGCATTTCCTTTGGAAATTTGTTACTGGCAACATGGTTGGTTCTTACAATTACCCAGATTTTAAGCTTGTAATTGATAATTTGATTTGTATCTTGTCCATTATTTTCTCTCTCTCTCTCTCTCTCTCTTTTTTACAGATCAATTCTGCACTGTCTACAATTTTTTATTATATTCCCATCCACATGTAACATGGTAGGTCTTTCATTACTTTTATTTATTACTTTTTAACTGGACAGTTGCAGTGATTTCTTAACTTTTTTGTTTTTACCCTTTTTTCCAACCCATTTTATAGAGTGGCCATATGAATATTTCTAGATTCAATATGACTTTATTGAATCATATCCCTGCTTAAAAGCAAACCCCAAACTTCTGCCTTTCAAGGTACCTGGTGGGTTGTGATCTGACCCAACCTACCCTACCCATTTTGAACCCACTGTTGTGTTTCATGGACCTTCCCCTTCAGCCAACCTAGAATGCTATTTTCATACCAATGTATCTTTTCCTAATTAAATTTCCTCCCTGGAATGCTCAAATTCAGCTTTCCATATTAAAATTTTATCTGTTTCTGAATTCCTGTAGCACTTTTGAGGTCCCTCTTGTACTGCTGCATTATACAGTCTTTTAACTTTGCTTAAATCGAAAGCATCTCTAAGGAGAAACTAGGTATTTTACTCTTGTTTACTGCATGTTTTGCATAATCTGTGTGCTCAGTTACTTGAATTGACTTTTAGAAGTGTCTCTAGGGAATTCTGTGGCTTTGGGATTAGTGACTTGTCCAAGTTCACACAGTTAGATGGCAGAGATGGGCCTCAACTCCAAATCCTGTGTGTGTGTTGGGTGGGGTGGGGTGGGTTGACTCACTGTTGCCTTAAATATTTATTGAGGGAATAAATTGATTCTGTTCACTCTCGTAGGCATAAACATTATATTGAAGTTTTTCTTGAATTGTTTACTTCATCTTTTGCTGCATTAGAATGCCAAGACTACCAATACTCAGTGGTACAGTGGAAACCAAAACATTTTCAAAAGCGTATTATGCTGACAGAGAGGCCCAGGGCAATTTAGAAGTTATAGGCAATCTCACAATTATCTTGATTATTTTGAATTCCCATTGGCTCTTACATTTCTGGGAGGCAGCATTTTTATGCATCATTTTAGGAGCCAGCTTTGAGAGGAATTCGTTTTAGTCCATTAACCTCTTCTTTCCTGGTAGCAACATGCACCTATACTTATGTTTAAAAGTGAAGTTCTTTTGAAGATACAACTCCAGTTGAATGATACCTGTACTGCTCACCTTTTAACTAAAAATTAACTTTTGCTCCAGCTTATGAAAATACCTAGTAAATTTAAAACACTATACCAGCATAACTATGCTTGAGGATACCTGCATTTGAAGCCATGCCCCAGGACAGGGGCCTTTTCTGTCTGCTCAGGGACTGCGGCTCTGGGCTTACTACACACAGGCCAGCTGGCCCTCCCACACAGGAGTCTCTTGCAAACTGGGGCTTCACTGACTCCTTCACTTGCCATTCCCACATACATTGACTGAGTTGTCTTCTGGAAATCAGTGCTCTTTCAACCTCAGCAAGCAGGTGTGTAGCATAGTGTACTCCGGGCCATAAGCAGAAGTGCCACTTCTCACATCTGGATGTGTTTTTCCATGCTTAGGCAGCGGATCATTTATGACCAGAGGCCATCTGAAGAATATGGATTCTTACCCAGTTTCTTCTGAAATCCAGGAATTGAGCCACTTTGGAACTCAAATCAATCCTTAACATTTCTTTGTTGTCCAACTGCTTAGAAAGCTGGTATTTGATTTATTTATTGTTTTTGCATCTGCACACAGTTTTTAGTTGCAGTCCTAATTCCAGCATTTACTAGCTGTGTGAATATAGGTAAAGGATCTAGCTTCTCTGACTGTTTTCTCATTTCTAAAACAGATAGTTTGAACTCTTAAGGGATATTATGATGGGAAAAATGAATGTACCAACTTGACTGGCAAATTGCTTTCAAAAGTGGGAGAAAGTCCATTCAACATTCACTATATAAAGTCAGTACATCTATAGACTTCTAGATATGTCACTACTACAGCTTTCTGGTAGAGGCAAGTGGAGAGTGTGGATAATGGAGACATGGCCTTGAGCAGTAAAGCTCTGATCCACATGGTGGTGATGACAGAGTATGAGAAGCTGGTCACTGAATCTCTTCCAGGTGTGGGTTCATACCAGCAACATTCCTGGCTGTGCTATGGACACCTGGGAACTCAGGCTCAGAATGCAAATCACAGCTGAGTAAAGAGCATACCACTGTCTTATATTTGGCTCTTCTCAGTCCTGTCTGAAAATCTTGGGTTTCAAAATCACTAGCTTTAGTTTACATAGAGTGGCATGAATTTGTGGATTAGATTGGTGAGCTAAATCAGGTAGAAGTGCAAAGGTCAAGTATACTCCAAGTGAGTATATATGTGATTTGGCTGTTTGCTCCTTTTTTCATCAGTGGATAGTATCCTGACAAAGTTATAAAAAACAAAAACAAAAAATAACAACAACAAAAAAACAACTCTCTAAGTTAGGGTTTATAAGGAAAACTTCAATGTGACCTCTAGGTAAACTTTCGTAGGCATGATGGCCAATCCCTCACTATAGCCTGCACTAATCTGAGTGTCTTAGACATTTATAAAGTGCCTATGTGCTAAGCATTGCATTTGCCTGGGGGTGGGCTGTAAGCAGGTGTGCTCTAGTAGAGGTATAGAAACCACTGTAAGTCTCAAGAGAACTATCTTCAGCATGACATAGGCTTTAGCCAGCATTCTCTGTGGTGTTTGTTCAGAAGTTTCCCAGAGGGTCATACCTGGTGTCATCTTTTAAATATTCCTGGTTCTTGGCTATTGTAATGAAAATTAGGTTACCATTAAGGTTACTGGGCTGATAACCACATTTCCCAGGTTGTACCATTTTCTTGGGGTTGGCGTAGGTGATACTCTCCTTCTCTTACACTCTTTCATGTCCATAGCACACTTCTTTGGAGAAGCAAAGGTTTCATGGGGCTATTGCATGAGTTGAGGCTCAATACCCGGTAAAGAACAAAACACAGAAACAGCTATGTAAAATCTACGTAACCATGGAGCTATAGAACTACCAATGTCATCTTACCATTTTTAGTTATATTAATTACCAGAATGCAAATCATAGCTGGGTAAAGAGAATACCACCATCTTATATTTGACATATCTTGGTCCTGTCTGGGTTTCAAAGTCACTAGCTTTAGCTTATATAGTGTGGTTAAGAATTTGCTCATTAAGGGCCCTCCCTGGTGGCACAGCGGGTTAAAGCACAGCACTAAGAATCTAAAGCCACTTCGGCATGAGTTCAATTCCCGCCTGCCCCAGAGGTGACCACATGGCACTGCAGACCTCTCCTGACCCGCTCGCTGCTCCCCTCAGCAGTGTATTTTGTCAATCTGCCTTTTCTGCTCCCCACTCTGTCTCTGGTGAAGCCTCTCGCCTCCTCTGAGCCTCTGGCCTGGACCCCAGTTCTGTATGCACAAATCTTTAAAAAAAAAAAAAAAAGAATTTGCTCATTAGATTGGTGAGCTAAATCAGGTAGAAGTGTCAAGGTCAAATGGCATATCCTTTTCTCTAAGTTTGAAAAACAAATTCTGAGAAATGGGAGTTTGATATTAAAGTGTTAATTCAAGAGGGTTATCATGAGCCTGCAGCCACAGTGGCCAGTAGAATGCAATTGCTCTGACAGCTCAAATTTCTGTCATTAAGCTCTTACAGGTGAGTTCCTATTCTTTCTCTGCCTGGCCAGTCTTTGAATTTCCTCTCTTCTTCTCCTAGTTGCTCACTCTTTCCTTCTTCTTCCTCTTCGCTTCCCTTCTTTTTATTGAGTTCCTCTTAATGTGATAAGCACTTACAAGCATTGGGGATGCATCTATGGTCAACTGGAATCTGTGCTCTTATGAAACTTATACTCTAGTGGGAGGGAAAGATAGGTATTTAATACCAGGAATTGGTTATATGATTTATCATTTGTTTATTGTTTCCTTCTTCACAAGAACAAAAAATTCTAGAGAAGCATGCTTTCCCAGTTGGGCTATGCATTGACACAGTTTATCTGAGATGTGTTGGGCCTCCAAGGAGCTCAGACCCTCAGTTCCTTGTGCTTTCTTAGATTAGGAAGTGTAGTTTGCCAAAATGAGTTGTGGTTTTCAGGTTAGAAGAAGCACAAAAATGAACAGTGATGTGAACCGGATATAGATAAATAAATAATATTAAAAAATAAAGAGGAGAGTACAAGGATCCCAGGACTACACCTTTTTAATTCAGCATGAAATCTAGGAGTTATAGCCAACCTTTCTTTCTCAATTTACAGGTTAATGCAGAGAAACTTTGTATTTTCTATGAAAAGTGCTTGAATGAAGCAAATACAAAACTGGATGAAATGGTGATGCAGTTGGCAAATGAATTGACAGCACAGAAAATAAAGCCATGGAGTAAGAGTGGTAAGTAAACATGAATGAACTTAAAGTCCATACAACTGGTAGTGGGACAGTAGAGATGCGCAACAAATCGCTGAGTCTGAGTGGCCATTTAACAGTTCAAGAGGATGAATGTGCCTCTGATATAAGATCATATCTGGGAGGATCAACCTCTGTGTGCTTTTGGAAGACCATGTGCCTAACTCCCTTCCATGAAAGGAAAAATCAGTGCAGTTGACTGAAGCAACTCTCATTGCCAAAGGATGGTATGGGCTTTTCTGCAGCCTGTAAGATAAAACATCATTGAAATAATGCTTATTTTTATAATTTTCCCCCTTACCACTATCCCTTATACACTTTGACCCTTTCTCCTTCTCCCTTTGCCCCCCCCGAAAGCTCACCTCATTTACTAGTGCCAGATATCCTTTATGAGTATTTTACTTTGTTGAATCACCTGCTATGTAAAATGTCCAATATTTGTCATTCTGAGTTGCTTTATTACACATGATTCCCTCAAACTCCTTCCTTTTTGCTGTAAATAGCAACATTTCGTCTTTCCCTCTGGCAAAATAGTATTCTGTTGTGTAGATATACCTCATCTCCTCAGTCTTCACTCAGTGGGCACTTAAGTTGTTTCTATGTGCTAAGTACTATAAATAATGCTGCAGTAAACATTGTAGAGCATGTCATTGTTTAAGATGATGGTTTCAGAATTGGTAGACCAATGTCCAGGTTTGCAGTCATGCGTATTCTCATTTTTAGTTTTGAAGGTAAAGCCAGATTGCTTTCCAAATTGGCTGTACCAGTTTGTATTCTCACCATGGTGTAGGAATTTCTCGCTCTCCACATCCTCTGTAGTACTGTATGTGGCTTTTTTGTATGTGCCATTCCCATGAATGTGAGCTGATATCTCATTGTGGTTTTGACCTGCATCATCCTTATTAAATGTGCTGATGAACATTTTTCCATGCATATACTGGCCTTCTTTGGAGTATTCTCTGTTTGGATCTACTGCCTACTTATTAATTGGGCTGGTTATTCATTTTTCCTGCTAAATTGTGTAAGTTTGTTTATACAGCTTGGATACTAACCCCTGTCCCTTGTGTAATGTGTAAATATTTTCTCCCACCCAGCAGGCTGTCTTTTTAATCTAATTATATTCTCTTTCCCTGTGTAAAAGCTTTTTAATTTGAGGTAATCCCAATTGTTTATTTTTGCTCTTATTTTCTTTGCTCCTAAAACATCTTTATCATTGAAGTCATGAATCATATTGCCAGTATTTTCTTTTATATATTTTACTGGTACAGGTATTACAGCTAAATCTTTAATCCATTTGGAATTTATTCTTTTGCATGGAGCCAGCTTCATTCTTTGACATGTGAGCATCCAGTTTTCCCTACACCATTTGTTAAATAGAATCTCCTTTCCCCATTGTAATGGTCTTGGCTCCTTTATTCTGAATTAAGTATTGATATATATGTATATTTTTCTGAGTTTTTGATTCTCTTCCATTGACTCACATGTTTCCTTCTCTCAATTAAAAGAGTCTGTACTTATCATTGGCTTTCAACAGTTTTGGTATTATGTGCCTTGGTGTATGTCATTCTGGTATTATTTTTTTGGAACTCTGGTCCTCTTGGATCAGGATGTCTGATCCTCTTGGATCAGGTTGTTGCAGTCTCATATTTTTATTTCCCGTATTGAGATGGTTCTCAGCAGTTCTTCAAATTTTTAAGCCTTTCTCTTTCTCTCCTACTTTTGGGATCTCCATTAGATTGATGTTAGTTCTCTCTAGGTCATCCCTAAAGAACTCTTACACTGTTTTCAATCTTTTTTTCTCTTTGTTGTTCTATTTGTGTATTCTTTGACATACAAGAAACATACTAATTTTCTCCATTGTTTACATTTGTCTACTGTAGTTTAAAATTTTATTTTTAAATGAAGTTACAGTATTTTTTAGATTTGTTAGTTTGGTTGTTGCAGTCTCATATTTTCTTGATCTTTATTTATCCATTGTTTCTTCTTCATTTAGCAAGCATGATTATATCTGTTCCCTTAAACTCTTATTCAGGCATACTCTGGAGTTCTGCTGGGTTGAGACTTCCTAGAGTTTCATGTGTGCATGTGTTTGTGTGTGTGTATGTATGTGTATCCCTGTATCTCAGTCCATGTCTGTGTGTTCCAGCTTTTGTGATATGTCCTCTTGTCTCTTCATTTTTAGGTTTATATATGGGTTATAGCAGGGAGTTGTCTTTTGTTATCTTAGTAAATAGGCTTTATGCCCCTCCAAGAAGCTGAGAATAATTGTAGGTTTTTATACCCAGGATCTTTAGATGTCTAATTTCACAGACTGCTGCCTTTTTATTTTCTTTTAAGATATATTTATTTATGCATACAGAACTGAGGTATAGGCCAGGGGTGCAGGGACGGTGAGAGGATTTCCCTGAGACAGAGTAGGGAGCAGAACAGGCAGACTGACAAAATACACTGAGAGGAGAGGAGTGGGCTGTTCAGGAGAGGTCTGCCATGCCATGTGGGTCAGCTTCCTGGCTGGGAATCGAACTCGTGCTGCAGTGGCTTTGGTGGTGCTTTAACCCGCTGCACCACCAGGGAGAGCCCAGAGAGCTTCCTTTTTACCTGTTGAGATAAACAGGGCTGCTCTGGTGACAGGTGAAAAGGAACTGGTGCAGTAGGTCATGAAAAATTTGCTTTCAGTGAGCATCAAGAGTCCTAAATTCCTACAGTACTGAGTTGTGTGGTGGGGATCTCCACTGATTCCTTCCCTCGGCCAACTTCTTGGCCTAAATGTCTGGTTCGATCTCATGTTCTACCTGTAAGGTGTGTTTGAGTACTGCATGCAATATTGGGTGAGGATGATAGTTGAAACAGGGCCAGTTTGGAGGCTTACCCTGGAATACTTGCTCCTGTTATTAAGTTCCAGGTGCTTAAGCTCTGGTTAGTAAAACATTCAGCTGTTTTCTCTGTTTGTGGGGTAGAGGTATTTTGAATATCATAACCTCAGGCTGCAAATACTAATCTTTTATGAGTAGACACAGGTGGTCTGGCCTGACTCTCCCTCCATGCTCATTTATGCTTCAATTGTTCAAGCTTGGGAACTTCAGACCTAGCCAGTATTCATCACTCAGTGGCTTTATAGTTTTTCAGTAGTGCACCCCAACCTTGTGTACGCTCTTCTCCACCACAGTGCGACATCTCCCAGGTCCCCAGCATGGGCACGTGCCCCTGAGGCACCCACAGCAGGGGTCTCTTACAGCAGGTGCCTCTGCTCTGGTGGCTCGTGCAACCACAGGATCATGGCAAACAGTTTAGTTCTAGCTCTCCCCAGCCCCTGGGCCATTGTTCCTGATGTATTCCATAGTCGCCGTTAATCTTCCAGGGGCTGTTGACTTTGCTTTGCTGCAATTTAATTGTGAATATATGGAAGAGGTGATCGCTGAGTCCTCTCTGTTGCTGTCTTACTGGACTCTCTTTCTTAATTTTTAATAACAAATCCATAGCTCTTTTTTATAAGCTGTAAAAGCCATTGAGTATTCAGCAGCCTACAAAGGTCTATGTGGTTTGGTCCCCTATTCTTTCTCTGACTTCTGTCACATCCTCTGTCTTTCATTCAGCCCTAGTCACATTGACCTCTTTGCTGTCTCTGTACACAGGAGGGACACTCCCACCCCAGAATCTTGCCCTAGCTATTTCCTCTGCCTGGAATACCCTACTAATTTCTGCAAGGACTTGAAGGTAAGGGTTAATCAAAAGAATCCCTGGGGAAAGTCAGAATAGATCTTGTTGAGAAGGTGACATTTGAACACTCTCAATCTATTACTCTGTGTACTTCTTTTTTTTTTTTTACTGTATTTTTAAAAGATTTATTTATGCATAAAGAACTGGGTATAGCCCAGAGGTGCAGGGGATGGTGAGAGATTCACTAGAGACAGAATGGGGAGCAGAACAGGTAGATCAATGAGTCTGCTGAGAGGAGCAGTGAGAGGGTCAGGAGAGGTCCTCTGTGCCATGTGGATCTCCTCCCAGGCTGGGGATCAAACTCGCATTTAAGCGGCGGTGGCTATCTTACTGTGCTGAGTCCTAATCCATGGTGCCACTAGGGAGGGATTTTCACTGTATTTAATACCTTCAAATAAACTAAATACATGATGTAATGAACACATTTATTTGTCTTTGTCTGTCATAGTATAAGTGCCATAGTACAGAGGTCTTCTTTTTGATCACTGCTATATATCAGAGAGCTAAAACAATACTTGCCTCCTTCATTAGTGCTCCACATTTATTAGTGTAAATTAAAAATACTAAGTACCATAACTTACTCTCTACTATTAATCATTAGTGATAATGTTTTGTTGTATAGTTTCCCAACATTTTACATCATAGCAATCAATCTGTTTGGGGTTTTACTTTCTCAATTTATCATCAGCATTTTTATTTCTTACAGACTCACATTTATAAAAGCTGCTTCTATCCCATCAAGTGAGTGGACTATATAGTATAATTAACCTTGCCCTGTAACTTGTTTTTCTGCTGTGAACAGCAAGCGGTGGCTAGATATTTGTCCATAATTAGAATAACTTTTACTAGTATATTTTCAAGGTAGGATGCTGAGATAAATGAAAACAATGTGTTCTTGATGCGAAGAGGCACATACTTTAAAAAGACATAAGGACCAGTTAGACTGGATACCTCTGTTTCTAAATTTCTAAATTTTAAATCTAAAATCAAAGCTAAATAAAAATGAGGTGACACAGCCACAGACCTGGAAATCTAGATGAGGCGAGTGTTTTTGTTTCTAGAAGGGATGTGGAGTAGTTCTCTTGTAATGGCAACAGATGTATGGCACTTGACCTTGCTACAAATCCTGCATTTTGATCTTTTGTATCACTTAGGATGTAGTATGTGGACATACAGTGCAGAAGCCAGTTTTCAGAGTATCTGTATGCATCACCCTGAAGAAAGTGTAGTATAAAATCTAATGGGCATTGCCTACCGCTCCTAGTTATTAGAATTAATTTTCTACTCACTTTCTGATGAAGAAATTGTGGGTGAGTAAAATGAAAGTGTGTCTGAAATGATGGTAGTTCTGTTTACGATGACGGTCATTCTTTTAATTATCTTTATGTTTGACTTCTGTATGAATTAAATTTTAAGTGTATACCTATCTGAAACTTCACTCTCTTCTCTGGGCCTATGCTTCAGCTTTTTGCTGCTCTTTTGATACAACCATCAAAATTTCCTTCTCATGCCCAATCCTGTGAACTTAGAATTCACTTTCAAAGGAGAACAATAGTGGATAATTTTTGATAAGATCAATTAAGCTACGACAAATGGGTATGGTATGTCAAATATGTGTCTCAACCTTGTAGTAGATGGACACATCTTCAAAATCTTTTAAATATGATGTTTTCACCCAGAAATGCTCAAAGTTTGGCTCACAGATCCCAGTGATTGTCAAGACCCTTATATGGTACCTGTGTGGTCAAAGCTATTTCATTCTACTGTCTAGATACTGCTTACATTTTACATCTTTGTGTCACTTGCATTGGTCAAAATGAAAAAAATCTCTTGGAAACTTCTCACTCGTGGAGGCAGGAGTGCTAGTGTACTAGTAATTTTTGTCACTGATACCTACTACATAAATAAATCATTTTTTTAAAAGATTTATTTATGCTTACAGAACTGGGGTACAGGTCAGAGGTACAAGGGTGGTAAGAGGATTTACCAGAGACAGATTGGGGAGCAGGAAGGGCAGATTAACAAAGTACACTGCTGAGGGGAGCAGCGGGCAGGTCAGGAGTGGTCTGCTGCGCCATGTGGGTCACACCCTGGCTGGGGATTGAACTTGTGCTCCAGTGGCTTTGGAGAGCTTCATAATGTGGTGCTTTAGCCCTCTGCACCACCAAGGAGAGCCCCCTACTCACATTTTAAAAAGCAGTGTTTTACTTAAGAATGTCCTTAGTGAAAAGGTAAAAATTTACCTCTTGATTCTGTGTATGCACAGAACACTTACGTGTTCTATGAAAAAATCTCATTCCTGAAAAATTATATGCATTTAAGTTCTAACTGAACTAGCAGGTTTTGTCTGTTTTTTTTTTTTTTTAAGGATTATCATATTTACTTGAAAACATGATTTAGAGGCACACTCGCTTAGACAGTTAGCTGGTATTTCCTCATTAAATGAATAAAGTGAGACTGTCACTTATAAGGAAAACAACTGACAATATTTTTTGGGCAATAGTATAATTAGAGGCTTTAGGCAAAACTTAGATGTTGAAAATATATGCCATCTTGAGATTGATTCTCAGTTTTTAGGCTTTTCTTATAAGATCAGTGGTGATTTTAATGTTTTTCATATTGTGTGATAGAATGTGAACACATGGAAGATGTGCATCAATTTACCATCAAGTGATGTTACAAAATCAAGTATGGGTAAAAGGTCTGTTCAAGTTTAAAATAGACTTTTGAATTTTAATGTAACATAGTTAAAAAAAAATCATTGATATAGCTTATTCTATATTACAACTCTTTTAAAAACCAATTTGCTAAGTTTTGGTATAGTATCAAATAATGTTCACAATGATGAAAATGATGAAAAGACTATGAAAATACCAACTACATCTCTGTAACAGGCTAGATTTCGTCACAAACTTTAACCAGCACAACATATCACAATAGATTGAATTCAGAAACCTTTATGGGAACTCAAGTCTTTTATTAAGCCACAGTTTTTTAAAAATTTGTCATTTTTCTAGCAAGTTGGGAGGGTTTGAAAATAGTCATTTTCTTTAAAAAATTATTGTTAATTTTAATAAATAATACATCATTATGATTTTATTTTAAAATAAAGTAATACACTCACTGAATTTCTTGATTTCAGTTACACTACTATTATAGAACCTGCATAAAATCTCTGTGGGTTACACAATGATTTTTAAGTACATAATAGAATGTTCCTTAGATGTAAAATCGGGGAGTTGCTGCTTGAGCCTAACAGGAACTTCCTTATAATGCTGAGTTGTACAACTGTTTTGTAGTAAGAGAAGTGGAGGAGTGTCATAAATATTTGGGGCTTTTAGTATTTCATTATAGAATGATTGCTTTTGCTCAGGATTCAGCTTTCAGTACCATTCACATCAACTGAGCCATCTCTGACCTGTCTATACTGCCATGAGTAAAGCATTGAGGGTAGAATGAACTAGAATCTCCCTCTCTTATGGACATATTTGCTACCACTCCATGCCTGTTTCTGATATTCATTAGCAATTTAGCCTATAACCACAAACTCATTTAATTTTTATTAACAATCTTTTTTACATTGTTATCCTCATTTTACAAATGAGGCAAAGAATTGTCATCATCTAAAGATTATATAGTCAGAAATTTGCATTCTCCCACATAATAAATATAGGAACATCGCATGGAAGAAAGCATGTGTCTTCAAAGTTAAGAACTTAATTGGGAATAATAAAAAAAATTTTAATTTGAACCTACCTGCACTAGTTAGTAATTTTGCATGTTTGTGTCTTAATCACAGGTTGTACTCTCTCCCACTCTACAAAAGGGCAATAAAATACCAACATTAACAAGGAGCTATAAAATTTAAACCAGATAACATACTTAAGTACCTTCTGCATTTAAGATTCACAATAAATGGTATGTAATATCTACTACTGACACTAAAAATTATTTCTTCATTAGGGTTCTCCCCTGGGCCTTGGGAAGGATCACTGCCACGGTTTTTGATGATACCTGGAGTGTCAAATTCTTGGTAAGTGTTAAAATTTGTGGGCAGTCATTCTGGTTGCCTTTAAAGTCAACAAGATAGATGGGAAAGCAGCAGCTGAGGGAAGCCACATTTACTTACTTGGTGAATTCTCTCTGCAGGTAAATTTTTTGGACTGGAAGAAATGGGGGCTCTGATAAGCCAGCTTGGAGAGAGAAGAGCACTGTCAGCTGGCACTCTGAAGAACTGAAAGGGCAACTGGAAGAGGAGACAAAAGCAGTGTATCTCTTACTTCCCACCTGTAGCATCACTGCATATTAGGAAGAAAAAGAAGTGCTTGGTCGGGCAGGCTGAGTATCTTCTGTTTGAGAAAGAGGAAGGGCAAGTGCCTTAGTGCTAAGGGGAAGAGAACACTGTGCACTTGTTGTGTGCTGAGGAGGACTCTGACTTATGCTCCCCGTAACTGAAACTGCTCCCCTAGTTTGTCAGACTTAGAGCAAGTAAAGTATGTGTTTCCATTTTCCATTATTCCTTGAACAGAAAGTCAACAAGACTATATAGAGCTTTGATTTTTAATTGCACCAAGGGTGAAACTGAATACAAGATCACAGTGAAATGGGGTTAGTTTAGCTCAATAACTTGCCAATGCAAAATAGGTATTCTTCCAAGAGACTAGAATTTCCTGTAAGTGGCTCCATAAAAACAATTCTTTAAGGGGAAAGCAATGACTTAACACTATAGATGAATTCTTTGAGCCCTGATATTTCCAGTCAATTCTTAGTTCCTATTCGGCATATCTGATTACTAAGTGTCTACACAGAGAGTAGAAGTCATTGCATTTTTAAAAAGATTTATTTATTTGTGCATACAGAGCTGGGGTAGAGGCCAGAGGTGCAGGGGAGGTGAGAAGATTCACCAGAGACGGATGGGGAGCAGAACAGGCAGATAGATGAAGTACACTGCTGAGGGAGCAGCGGGCAGATCAGGAGAGGCCTGCCGGCCATGTGGTCACCACATGGGGCAGGGATAGAAGTCATGCTGAAGTGGCTTAGCTTCTTAGTGCTGTGCTTTAACATGCTGCACTACAAGGAGGGCCCAGTTGTTGCATTTTAAGACTTCTGCTTTTAATATTTTCTTTCTTTCATTCTTCTCAGTTTCTATATTAACTTTATAAACTTCTAAATTGCTATCATGTTTTGTGCCTCAACCATTATGCAAGGTACTTCTCTCACGTTATTTCAATCTTCATAGAAGTCACATGAAACAAGTAGAATTATATCCCTCTGCACAAAGAAACCAAGAAAACAAATAATTGTCCAGTTGTACGGCTATTAGCAGACTCCAAAGGCACTTAAGCAGCAGTGAAATGACTTATAAGTTAGAAACTCTCTGGCTGCCTTCCCAGTGGCTTCCTGCAAGGTCCATTGCTTTGACTCTAGCATCCTTCTGTGACTTTCCTCACACATCTGCTTCCCTCATTTACTCCCTCTGGTCACCCTGGCCACCTCTCTGTCTCTTAAATGAGCCACTATCCTCTATGTCTTAGGACTATTGTAGCTTCCATTCCTGTTTTTTGAAGTTTATTCTGTCCTTGCCTACTGTGAGGGGATGATGAAAAGGGGTCCTGTCAGTTGGTTGTGCTTTCTTATACTGTAAGTGATTCTATTTATTAATTTGTTTATGTATTTGTGTATCCTCTCCTTTTTTGGCTCCTTGTGGCAAAGCCCTTGTTTCGCCTACACCTGTGGCACTAATGCCTGCGGCAGAAGATCAATGAGTTCCCCTCAGGAAAATGGAGGAGATAGGAGTAGTGACTCCCTGCACAGTTGAAAGCCTACTTATAACTTCTGACTCCCCTAAAATTTTGTATGTCATATGTGTTATTTTACTTTATAAAATGCAGTATATTACTGTACTGTATTTATTAAATAAGCTGATATCATCTATTTTCAAGAAAATCTGCATGTAAGTGGATCCAGGCAATTTAAATCTGTGTTGTTGAATGGTCAACACTACATTAAATTAGAGGGGAAGTCTAAATTTGAAGCCAAGTTTATCTGATTCTGTCTTATTTTCAGTATCACCATTAGTGTGGCTCCTCACCCACCAGCCTCGAGTGTCTGCGGGTGTCATTAATTGAGTCTTGTACTCTCAGAGCTGCAGTCACCTGAGAAGAGGCCTTTCTTTAGGTTGTATGAAGGAACCAAGACTGTCAGAAGCCCACCTTCTTCCAACCAGATGAGATTATCTCCTGGGTAAATTGTGGCTAGATCAACCAGAATACTGTTGAAGTGATTGAAATGTTCACTGAGCTCAGTTTTGCTGTCTAATAGCTGCTATGACTACCCTAAGCTGGTTGTGTACATGTGAATTTGTGAATTAAAATAAGATTCTCTCTTCACCATATACTGTACAGGGCACATTTTGAGAGTTCAGTTAGCCACATGTAGCAAGTGGCTACCATGTGGACAGAGTACATGGAATATTTTTATTCCCATGGAAAGTTCTTTTGGATAGTGTTGTTTTCAAGTGACAGAAAGATAACGTTTTCAGAGATTTACAAGTGGAACAAAAGATTTTGTCTCCATCCATGGAATGAGGAGACTAGACTTAATCTAAGTGGCTCTGTCTAGTTCAGACGAGCTCTAAAGCTTATGTTTTGCTAAATATAAGTCTTATTTTCTAAATGATAATGAATGTTCTCATTACTACCTTTGAGTCTCTGCTATTTCTAGACCTCTAAGCCTGCCTATTGTTGAAGCCCACATAGTCAGAAGGCTTTCCTGAAATAGAGCTCTCTTCTCTGTTTTATAGCAGCAATTAGATATTCTATCCCTTCTCTTATTGTCCCAAATTCTATCCCTAATATTATCTTACTAGGTTCAGGTTTATCTTGATTTGGTGGCAGGTTGTTATTACCCTTATCTTTAAAAAATGTCACCTTTGAATCTTTCATTGTTGATGGTGATGATATGTTTTTCAAAAACGTGTGTTGTATCCCCTACAGTAACAGGCTGCCTGCATGGCCCCACAGTCAGCCAAGCATGACTGTGACCTTCTGTGAGAGTGTTACCACGATGAACAAGAGACCAGCGCTGAGGTTACTTGGGCCCTCTTCAAAGGAAGGCAGAAATGGTGGAGTAGAGAATGAAGTACAAAGATGATGCCACTGAGAACACTGAAGACTTGGAGGATGCCAAGTGATGCGGGTAAGGCTACCTTGAACCTCAAGTAAGTCACACAGAAATATGAGGCTAGTGACTATGTCTTCCAGACTTCATGTGCTTTTATCAAACCCTTGCAAGTGCACAAACAAGCCTAAGGCCAAAGCTGAAATATCTTCTGCTGACAAACAGCACATGTTCTAGAGGGGACAAAGAAAAATTACAATAACAACTATAAAAAGGTCCTAGGGGGGAGAAAGAAGGCTCTTTCTAGAGGTACAAGGGACTTGTTCATAGAAAATATGACTTAGAGCTGTGTGGCTTGAAAATGGGTGAGCATGAAAAATCCTATATTTCATCTAGAACATGAAAATCATTGAGTCAATGTGTGCGCATATCCCTGTACATTAAAGCCATACTATACTGTCTTTGGTCTAGAACTTATGGGCGACAAAGTGACCTGTGAAGCTGGACAGGTGCTGTGGAAGCACGTTAGATCTGTCATCATGCCCTGTGGAACACAGGTTACTTTGAAATAGCCCTCAGGTCACCCCTAAGGTTAGAATATGAGGCTAGTGACTTTTCTAGCTGACATAACATAAAGACTTCAGAAGTCTCAGGAATGACAGAGGGTTGGGGCCCAGAAGAATGAAGTCTTGGTACCAGGGTATATAGTACCACAGTGTTAATCTTCAGAGTTGGAGAAACTGTACCTTAGAAAGTATCAGACCAACCCCAGCTTGTGATCATTAAAGGTGAACTCAGAAGCAAATGTCCCCAAGTTGAGAGCTTGGCAAGCCTCTGGGGCTGAGAATACATTTCTTTTCAGCTTCAACCAAAAATGTGTTTTTTCAGTTCTCTACCTGCATCTTTGTGAGACATGGCTATGTCGTTGTTGAACAGCCGCTGTGTTCTGTCCCAGAAGGGGTGCCAAGTGACCCATCTCTGTAACCATAGTCACTTAAAAAAGGTCTTTGGGATGACAGGTACTAAAAATAGCTGTAGTAGATGTTTTAGAACTCTGGGCCTCAGAAAAGTGGGCTTTGAACTGAAATGGCTCCTGATATCCAAAATACAGCATTTTTGCTTCTAAAGTAAGCTATTCTTCTAATGATGGAAGAATTCAGGTGAAGTGGCTAGCAGTCATTCTGTTTGATGGATTTTCTTGTGGGAATAGAAAAGGGGAAAAATATATAGTCTACTTTATGACCACATGGATTTGTTGGAGCTAACAAATGGTTTGTAGTGCATGACAATTAAAGAAAAATAATGGGGAAACATGGTAACATCCAAAGATCTTTTCTGTTTTCAACTTAGTTGAACCACAAATAAATAACATGTTGTCTGTATTATGCTTTGCCTCTATATCACCTCAGGGAGGTAGAGTTCAAAAACAAAAACAAAGAACAACCCTAGAATTCTATTTTTGTAAATTGGGAAGTGAGGATCTGCCTGCTTTGACTTCCAGGCCGGGTTTACATGATGAGTTAGCAGAACCAAACTGGCCAGAGGCTCAGTTTATGGTGCTTAGCCTTGGCTTCCCCAAGGATGGGGATTTGGCTTCTTAATCTCCCACATCTTCTTACATATTCTGGGCTACTAAGTAGGCAGTGATGAACATAAATTCAAGATGAGGAGCAAACTATCAGCTGGTATTAAATGTAGAACAAAGTTACCAGTTAAACAAGGGTGACTAATGGCCTCTTCCCCCTAACTCTCCAACCTAACTCTGAGAGCTCCCTGTCTTGGTGAACCCACAATTCCTCAGCACAGCTGGTCAGCCAAAGAAAAATTCTGATTTTCTGATACCAATTAGGCATTTCAAAAGTAGTTAAAATGCATGAGGTTAGTTTACAAGATTCCTGCTGTGTTAGGTGGAGTAAAGCATCAGAATCCCTTCTTCTCCTCTGGCTTCTTGAGCTATAGTTGACATAAGATGCTGTGAATGTGTAAGGTGTACAATGTGATGATTTGATGTGTATATATTTACTGTGAAACATTTACCACAATAACGTTCATTAACCCTTCCTTTTCACATGTAATTGCCACTTTGTGGTGGTGGTGAGAACACTAAAGCGCCATTCGAAAGCAGACAGGCGTTCACTGCAGTCACCATG